TGTCCATGTAAATGCAGGCCCACTGTGAAAATAAAATGCACGGTTTTTTTCAAAGCCAAAACCAAATAAAAAAGCAGATTCTCGATGACATCACAACAAGAATCGTGCTGCATTTATAATCCTCATGATGAATAACTTCTCACAAAGCTGCAAAACCTAAACTTTACATGGCTGAGTATAGTCTTCTGATCTGCAGGAAACATCACTGGTTGATGAAAGACATAACATTTGAAATAAGTAGCAACAGCTCAAGATCTTTGTTTATGTAACTGGTTTGACCCAACCAGTGTATCCTGGTTGGGTCAAACCAGGTTCTCTGTGTTATTGTGTTCAAATTGTGCTAAAATCCTTGCTGTGTTCTCAAAATATGACTGAAAGCAGAAATTTAATGAAGGGATTCCATTAATAACATGTAGGTAAAGAAAAACAGATGCAAATGAATGTACTCGTTTTCGCTTTAGATCACGTGTCAAACTCAAGGCCTATGGGTCTTAATCTAATATTCCCTGTGACTCCTGTTTTTGACTCAGTCAGTCACACTAACAATTTCACACTTTTGACTCGTCAAAAATGTCATTGGAAGATTTTGTGAATTGTTATTCTTACTAGTGAGAATGTACATGCAGAAATCTCATATTACAATTCCGGATAATCAAAATGTACTCTTGTCTAGTCAAAATGCATTTTTTGATATCTAGAATGTAAATATGGATATTCAGATGAAACTGAATGTATGTTAAAACAGCTTGCCATACAATAACCACTCAGACTATTGACCTCCCTGCAGCAAACAGAAAGGGGACAAACCACTGTCAGTCTCATACCTTAATTACAATTTATTTAATTAAAAGAGTTATAAATGCAAAATGTCTAAATGTAGACCTGATTTCACCATGGTTGCATGGAAGTAATTTTAAATTCAAGCTTAAACAATGTAATTTAAGGCTTAAATTTAATGTTAATGCATCCTTTCTCATGTATTTGCTCACTTTCTTTCAAAATATTTTTCAGTGTCTGTGTGCGCTCACTTTTGCCAAATGAAATGATATTAAACATGTTACTGCACTGTTAGATATGAGTCATGATCAGTGTTTGTGATGTTCATTTTAAAACCTCATTTGCTTTTGTTGTGTGGAAAATACACTTTTCCCTGAAATAATGAACAAAATACCAAGCAAAATCGTAGCAGTTTAAGTGTAGAAAACAATTCTTTTGAAAGAAGATTATTAAAATAATCTAAAACCATAACAATTTCAAAACCATGTAAAGAAAAACACTTTTGAGAGATTTTTGTAATTTTATTGAAACTGAGAATCAGACGTTTTCATAAGGCAATTGTCTAAAATCTTCTTTCTAAACAATTTGGAAAAAAAAAACATCTTGTAATTTTATGACAAATGCATAACAAAACAATAACAGAAAATATCAAATAACATACTAATTACAAAAAGATACATTCAATTTCAAAGCTTGGGACCTGTGTTTTTTTTTTTTTTTTTATTTGAGGGGTAGCGGCTGTGGATCCCCCTGAGTCAGACTGTAAATGACCCACAGCGCTCCACGGCTCAGAAAAGGGAGGAAACAGAGAGCGCGTCACGCCCACTCCATGCTTTATCCCTTCAAATTCACATAATCGGACAAGAACATCATTCCAACATAACACCTTTAACGGCACTGAAACAAACAAAACAAAAAAAAGATCGAACAAACAAATGAGGTAGCACTTGTTCACCTGCACGTGATTTAAAGACCCAACTATGAACCAGGTTTTATGACAACTGGACTTACTTCAGTCTTGTTTTTAAAAAGCAGGATGTAATCTTTATCTCTGCATATCTCTTCCTCACAAAGCTGTAAGGTTAAAAAAAAGAAATAAAAATGTTGTCATAGTCTAGATTGGGTCTTTAAGTCACAAATACATGAAATACAAAGACACTGAAACAGTCTTTGTTTATCTTAGTGGAAGAACAACAACACCTTATCCTGATTTAAAACAAACAAAACATGATGTAGGTGGAAATAAATCCAGTTTCCAGGTTGCTCTCATAGAAAAAACATAAAGATATAAACTGAGCATTAAAACACTGATAATATCATTTGACACAAAGATAGGATGTTTATAAACTGAATTTGGGCCAATGTGCAGCGGTGAGGATTAGGAAATAAATCTTTGGTTCATATTGTTTGCCTTTCAAAAGAAACTGAAACTGATTGTGTCACTTCTCATCTCATATGATTGATTCCTTCGCAGAGTCCTCTGATTAACGACACAGAAGCATGGCGACGTCTGTGCACCCACTTCGTCCACAAACAAAACTCCAATTACATTTTGTGACATTTAAAAAAGATGCATTATCAAAATATAGACAATAAATCTGAATATAATGACACATTTGTTCTTTTTTTTTTTTAAATAAAGTATTCTCTAAATTATTCTGTAGAGGAGACTATTAGTGGGTGCACGTCTACATGGACCTGCACTGCTGCAACACAGACCACTAATCAATATAATATAACATATTTACCTCTTAATATCACCTACATCTGTTTGCAACAGCTTCTGAGGAACTCTGCAGAAGGAAAATTTGGTCAGCGTGCATAATCTTGATTATTAGAAGTCACTCCATGAAGCTGGACACTTCCTCAGAGTTTCGACCCACAACCTCCAGGACTCTTCGTCGCGGGCCAAGGCCACTAATGTGCAAGGCTTTGTTTGAGGAGCAGCGCCTCAACTGATCCCTGAAGCCACTTTGGTCTCCTTTGATTATTTCTCTGTCCTCCAAAGATCAGCCGAGAGGCCAAAAATAAACTAAAACAAATCAGCAAACAACTCTTTGGGTATTAGCGTCACGGTCACCGCTGCATATTCACCTTGAACATAAAACTACGTGGCAGACAAGTGCTAATCTTCACCTACGCTAGCAGAGAACAAAACAAACAAACTACAAAGTAACTACAAGGTGTACTCCTCTGAAGTACATTATCTTCTAAGAAAAATAGATTCTTTAGAGGTAAAACATTTCATGGTGTTCATTCTTCACTTCAGTCTCTGATTAAACACTTTCCACCACTTTCACTACAATCATTCTTCATGTGTCGCATCCTCACGTGGGACGGCTCGGACCGGGGACGCCGCCCACATTAAGGCCAATTATAAAGCTTTTCTGTTCAGATATGCCACTGCAAGCACTTCTGGTGTGAATGTTTACACAAATCAAGCGAACACTGGGCGCTTGTAAAAACAGACACTGCTAAAAGGGGAGGGGGAGCGATCCAACGTCAGAGCGGCGCGCTCGCGACGTCAGAGGTACATTCAATACATTTTCAGCTTTTTCTCTGAAGGTAATAAAACATTAAAACAGGTCAGTACTGAGAAGATACCCTGTCAGTTCGCCATGTAATACCACACGGCTTTTCAAACGTACTAAACCTTGTTCCCTGAGTTTAGGAAAAGATAAAAACAATTCTTAAAACGAGGTAGTATAAAACGCGAGTAGCAAGGGCAACTGCACTGACATGCAGAACAAAAGCTGACATTCATTATTTCTCTCACGCCATTACTCAATAATGGCCCCCCAAAAAAGATGAACACAAATATTAATACTGGCTCAGGACCTCAGCAACATCTGAGGGGTTAAATAACAAAGTGAGTGTGAAGTTTAAAGCCTTCATTCCACGCAGCAGGTGGAGCGAGAGGAGAGGAGGAAGCTGCAGCGCCCTTACCATCCGCCAAATCAAACGACGCAAAAATAAAAGAGGGATGACAAACGGAGGAAACGGTCATCAGGAAGTATAGCAAGTGATGCAGCTGAAACAGCTCACCATGCAACAAAAGTAGTTATTAAATATTTAGTGGGAGGTTTGCCCTGAGGGTAACCGAGGTAGATAATCCGCAAAAAGGACTCACATTTCCCTTCTGCTCCAGTGATAAACTCTCATAAATAATCTCAGAAATGCCTTTTCTTGACATTTCAGACAATCTTTTAACATTCATGGTGGGTGAGATTTTTGTTCCAAAATATACAAAAAAATAATAAAAAGAAAGTAAAAAAAAAGAGAGATAGAGAGAGAGAAAGAGAGATACATTCACAGACAGAAAAAGTTAAACAAAATCACTTTCATACTGTCTTTGTTGGTTTCTATTCATAGGAAGAAGCAACAAATTGATACAACGCTTCTCTGTGCTTCTTTACTCTGTTTTCTCAAACTTAACTCACACACATTCAAACCTTGTGATAATCTCAGCATCCTTTCTATGTCAGTTTGATTAATCGATTCTTGGACAGTGCAAAGGTAACAAAATCTACCTGTAAAGCAAAAGAAAACCTGTTGATTTATTCCCTGGATGTGTACTTTTGACATCGTGCTGGACGATATTTAAGCATTTCGGATCAAACATCGAACCTCGGCACGTGACGTCACTCTCCTCGAAGCTCCGCCCACTGCGCCACGACGGACGTCTAAACAACCACTGTGCTCCTGTAAAACCTGTCAAAAACACATGCGCTAGTTTAATAGCACGGGCCGTTTTCTAAATGCCAAACTGGTGACATGACCTTTCCTGTTTTATCCAGCTTTTACTTTCTCATTCCACTCTGTTTTTATTTTTTATTTTTATGAGGTACGGTGGGAAAAAAAGCTTGAACTGCTGCTGCTCAGGTTACTTAGCAAGGTGTTGCTAGGTGACCAAAGAGTGAGAGAGTTGCTAGGTGACCAAAGAGTGAGAGAGTTGCTAGGTAACCAAAGAGTGAGTGAGTTGCTAGGTAACCAAAGAGTGAGAGTTGATTCCACCACTAGCTGTGAGGTTGAGAGGTTAAAGCCTTTCGTCTTTCTACATCTCAGAGGAAACCTGTCAGAGTAAAAATGATGAATCATTCTACAGGAAATATTCTATACTGATATTGATCATGCCTCTTTTACAATATATAGTTATTGATTAATTACTATGTAGTTGTAGGTTGATTTTGTTACCTTTGTATGAACCAATTATCTGCACTCTTTTAGTTTCTAATCACCAAATAATCCAGATGTGGCGTAAGCATGTAAACCTGCTTTTCACCTGCTGTAAGATGCCTGATTGAATTTCACTCCCTTTCTTCCTGAAACACACTCACACCTGCATCCAAACGCGCAGCAGCAGCAGCTACACACTGAGTTCACGCTGATGGCTGCAGCTGGCTTCGACAGTCTCCTTCAGCTTGAGGTCAGCGGGACTCTTCTCCAGCAGCTCCCCGCCACGGTCAGAGCCTCCTCCGTCCTCCTCCGTCAGAGACGGCGGGCGGCTGTTGGGACCAGAGTTGGTCAGCGCCGTGTCGTCATGGGAGAAGCGCCCCGAGTCGCCCGTTTCGTGGCTGCCCTCGCTGTTGGACGAGCCCTCTGCGTCAGCAGGATGCCCCAGCAGGTGCTGGAGAGTGGCAGGGTGGTTTGGAGAAAGCTCCTCTTCGTAGGTCAACACGGTGGCCCCAGGCAGGTAAGAAAGTGAGCCGTTTGTCTCGTTCTGCGGCAGAGACGGTTTGGTCAAACATGATGAAAGAGACACTGTAAGTAACCTTGACTTTGAGTTTCTCGATCCAAATTACGGAGCATGTTCAACCAACTAGAACTGCAACGATTGACTGGATTAATTGTGATTATTTGATTACAACAAATTAGTGATTGAACATTAACTTGATAAAAAGCTATTTGAAAGAAACTATATATTCAGAGCAGTATTTAAGCAGAAGCTTTACAATTTATATACATTTAACGTTCTTTTTTATAAGAATGTTTTAAAAAAAATCATGAAGTGCCTTGTTTTAGTTTCTTCCAATTCAAATTGACAACAGCAATGCTTTATTATTGCATTTTTAGGCAATAAAAAAAGTTTTTTCTAATTTAAAAAAGTTGAATTGTTGAATTTTTATTGTGTTTCTAATTTTGTATGTGGTTATTTGAAAAATCTGGAGAATTTTATATTTGATTAATTGTCAGAATAATTGATTACAAAAATAATTGAGAAACCATTCCTATAAAGTTATGTTTGGTTGTTTTGGACTATTTGAGTTGCAACTGCAAATATTAATGTAAATTCCCTCATTGTTCTTGATCATTTCAACGGTTCGTATATTTTCTTCTTCCTCAATTTGTTTTTTCTCCTTTCTATTTTTCTTTCTTTTTTCTTTCTCTTCTTGCTTAAAAACATTTCTAGTGAGATGTGTTTGTATTTAGAGGTTCCAGTATAAAAACCACCAGATGTGTCTCTCTTATTTGTCTTACAAGTTGATGAAAATTTAAAGACAAGAACTTGAACCTACTTGCACAATTTTTCTGTCCTGTTTCACTGCGCTTCTAAAGAAAGACCATTTCTTCTTCTTCTTCTTTAAATCTGGGCTGGGCTGAACAGGGCCGTTAGAATTTATGATCAGGCTGGTTCCACCCTTCAATAAAAAAAAAAACATAAACATTTGTAATCTAAATGTTTCATTAATCCTGATAATACGGCACCACATGAGACACGAGGAGGATTTGGTCTTTTGCTCTCCCTTGCATTAATTGGCTGGTGCAGCACAATTGAATACTGAAAGTCTTTTCGTTATAATTTAAGGTTTTTGTGAGTTTTTTTTATGTATGTAAACATCTTGTTTGTGAGATATCTGAAGTTTTATATCTTCTTCTTTAGGACTGAAATGCACCACAAACCTTTGTGCAAAATACAAAAGCAAACAGGCCCAATGTGGCCTGTTTACAGCTCTTCTAAGATATAAACAGAAACTTTCCACACAAAGGAAAGAATAAAGAAATGCATCCAAACTATTGGGACTATTTGTGAGTTATTTTTACGGGGTAATAAAATGATCAGTTTTGATTGTTTTGTCTGAATGATTGTCTCAAAGTTTCACAAACAGACATAAACATGCAGTGAATAAATCAACTTTCAATCAGTTTTTCGCCCCAAAGAGTTAAGAAGACATAAACACTGAGACTCTTTAACTGTAAATCAACATTTGTTACTGTATACAAAATAACACCAGAGTGTATTTGGTCATTTAAATACGAGGGAACGCAAAAGAAAATATGATAATAGAAAGAATTGCAATATTTTTTATAAACAACTTCAGTCAGCAGACGAATTTACCTTTGCATCAATGAAATGTCGACTCATCATCGGTACGTTCACTTCGGCCATCTGCACGTCTCCCTCCGGTCCGACATGTATTGCAGATGAAGCAGACGTGCTTTCCCCGTCTCCGTACGTTTTCACAGCCGATAGTTTCCTAAAATAAACACAAAGCGTGACACTTTAAGTAGCGAGAAAGATGGAGAAAATAAACGCTCCCCGCATCCAGAGTCGCCACGTACCTGTTTTTGCCTCTGCAGACTATGATGAAAGCGCAGATGATGATGCAGGTGAGAGCAATGCAGACGCCCACGCTGATCCCCGTCATTGACTTTTGGTCCAGGTGGTAGAAGCCATCAGAAAAGCCTGCAGCGGATCACGACACGAAGCAACACCATGTAACAAACCCGGTCTCATTTTCAGAAACGAGCTGGGTGGCGTTCACTGACCTGTGGAGTGTGTGGAGCCGCGGGAAGGTCCGGCATCATGACCGGAGGAGAGATCCGCTCTTACCGTCAGCTCCACCACGTTAGAAAACGGCCCGTCGCCCATGTTGTTGGAGGCTGAAACTTTTACCAAGTAAACCTGGCCTGGACTCAGGTTCTCCAGCAGCGCCATGGTGATGCTTCCTGTGGTTAAACGTAAAACTTTATGAATAAACAGTTGAAAATTGTTTTCTTTTTTGTGCGTAAATGTTTTCTCATTTACTTACACATGAGAGCAAAGGGCTGCAGCAAATGATTATTTAGTAGTCAATAGAAATTAAACTCACAGACTGCAGATTTTTCATTCAACCACTTAATCTTATTTTTACACATTAGGAATACATAAGAAAATGCAAATAAACAAATAATATAAATCCCTTTTTTAGACGTGAAAACATTTTAATTCATCTGCAGCTTTAAAAATAGTTATAACATCAACATGTGAACGTGTTCCTGCTTCACTTAATATGAAATCTATTAGTTTATTTATTTTTTTAAATTAATAATTAGCCAGTAAAAGATGTTTAACACAAGATTTTTTAGCAGAATTTGAACCTGGTGAAGGTAAAACTTTAGGAGTTCTAGGTAGAAAATATTTATAGTCAATGATTGTTTCTCCACATAATCTCCTTTGAACATTTATTTTATTGCATTATTGTAATTTTGTTGTAACTTGGCACGTTAGATAAATTAAAGAAAGAATAATTGCAAAATGTATGTATTTTTTGTACAGTTTTGGCTTGATTACTGCTCTGATTGTATTATTATTTTCGCAAAATGCAAAAAACCTACTCCAGTGAGTGATTGTTTGATTATTTAATCAGTTGACAATTATTTCAGTAATCGGTTAATCCGATTAATTATCTGGGAGAGAAAAAGGAGAGTTTAGTCTAGTCGATTAATTAATAACAATTTAACTTTATACGTTGGTCATAAAAAAACAGGAGAAAACCTGAAAAGATTTGACACTGGTTCTCTGTCAAAATGCATTCAAGGATTACAAAGTCCTGCGACAGACTGGCGACGTGTCCAGGGTGACCCCCGCCTCTCGCCCGGAACGCAGCTGGAGAGTTGCACCAGCAACTCCCGACCCCGTTAGGGAGAAGGGTGATCAAAAAATGGGTGGATGGATGGACTACAAAATGTGCCAAATTTAAATTTTGATATTAAATTAGAAATATCTTCCATGGCTAGTCTAAGTGAATAACAGTCATTAAATTAAACTTATATAAAAAATGTAAATTTTTCTTGTGTTCCATAGAAATAGAAATTAAAAAACAACTTTAAGAACAAAAACACTATATGACAAAAGCAGATTAGTAATTTTGTTTTCAATTGCAACAATATCATTTCTGTTTCTGTTAAGCTAACCAGTGTAGAGTTTGATTCTGTGATGCAGCAAAAGTGAATCCTCACTGGACGACCATCTGAGGGTAAAATCTGGAGGTCAGGGGGTTCAGGGCTGTCCACATTCCCTAACCTGGTACCGCCCCGCTGGCTCACCACCGGGGTCCCTGCAGGGGCTTCTGGGAGGTGGGTGGGGGCTGGGATGAAGGAGGCTTTGTGAACTGCTTCACTTCTGACCTCTTGGCCAGTGGCAGAGGGGGTTGCTGTGAGCTCTGCTTGTGTTTCCTGGGGTCGACTGCACTAAGATCGACTGCATCACACACCAGACAGCAGGTTTGCATTACCAAACTGTGACACTTCAATTAGTTCTCTGTACATGGAGCAACAATGTGTGACTTTCAGGTCTTTGAGTTCTTAAAGAATGTAATAAGGTTAATTTGAATTAAAATAGTAAAAACCAATGAAGGTTAAAAAGAGCAAACATTTTGTTTTTAATCAGATATAATCTAGTTGTTTTTTTTAGATATTAGCAGCAAATCTGAAATATTTCTGAGGCCTGTAACTAATGATTATTTTTGTAATGATTATTCTGACAATTAGATAAAACATCTTGCACATTTTTCATTTAACCACTTTTACCTTTTTTATACAATATTAGAACTACATAAAAATATGCAAAATAAACCAACTAAATTCCTGTTTTAAAAATGAAAATAAAGATCTTATTGTCTAAAATGCAATTGCATAGCCTTCCTTTAGTGAACTTAAACCAGATAAAGATTGGGTGAGTTTTTTTTGTTTTGTTTTCTATTTACAGACAAAGATATTTTAATCACAAATGCAAAGTTTATATTTTTGTGCAGTCTTTGCCTAATTGCTGTTCTGAATAGGTTGCATTTCTCATCCTTTATTTCAAATCTGCATACTCTATTTACCAATAACTAAATTAGTTGATGATTATTTCAATAATGATTCATCATAATTAATCCAAATAGTAATTTCTTCTCTCTTTCTGAGGTAAAAACAGAGTCAGAATTACTTATTCTGTCTACTGTGTATCCACACTTAAAAAAATATTCATTCATATCTTTTAAATGTGGTTTGCATTTATCTTCCAGCAGGACAACAAATCCTAAACATCCAGCCAAAGCTGAATTGGTATTGTTAAGATAAAACGGTCCAGTCAAAGTCCAGACATCAATCCAACTTAAAAGGCGATGTTCAAAGAAAATAAACAAATGTTTAAATCTATAATTGTCGATGGAAACTACAAAATATTTGAAGACGCAAAACCTGTTTCTACAGAAATGAAAATGTTGAAAACAGTGCATTCCTTTGCATTTATGTGCTATTTTGTGTCCAATTACATAAAATGTATCTGTGAGCAGCTAAAGAGTGATGAATACTTTCTCCATTTGTCATCCTCCTCACCTTCTCTTTGCAGGACTTGCCATTTACCAGCAATCCAGGCATTTCGTGAGGCGTACAGTATGGTGTAGTGTGTTACAGCTACATTTGGCTCATCTGGGAGTTTCCATGAAACGAGCGCCGTGTCTTCTTCAATCAGCGTCACTTTGATGTTGGAAGGAGGTAATGTTGGAGCTGAGAGAAGATGGAGGAAAGAACAAACTCAAGATGTGCACTGGTACCATTAGGTGAGCAAGTTTAGCTTCAAATAACAGCTAAATTTCAAACTTGCCTTCAGGGAAAGTGTTTTGATAGACCACAGGGCTCCAGGGGCTGGAGAGCTGGTCGATATGAAGGCGTACAGCAAATTCATACTTGGTGTTTGGCTCGAGGTCACGCACAAGAAGGCTCTGTTCACCTCTGCAGACAGAAGACATGACAGGTCAGCGGACAACATCAAAACAACTACATGAAGCGCTTTGCTCAACTGGCTTTTGAGGTAAAAGACAGAGAAAAAGTTGCAGCTGTAAGATGAATTATTTCTGGCAACATGATGTTTATAAGCTGGGCCAGCTTGTTCAAAGTGTCCAGGAGATGGAGATGTGGAGCCGTGCAGAGGATGCAGGAACACAAACAGCACATGGATACTTCAGTAGGAAGGATTTAAGCTGAAACAATTCCCCTAAATTCAGACTAAAAAGTTAATCAAAAGAACACATTTTTAGAAAAAGAAAGACTTTTAATCTTAAACGCAAACTGTGTATCAATTTTTGAACATTTGGGCCTCAAATACTGTTTTTTTAAAAAGAGTTAACAATTAATCAATTACTAAATTAGTTGACATTTATTTCAATAATCGGTTAATCACTATTACTCCGATTAATCGCTTCAGTCTTAAAAAGAAATAAAAATACCTCAAAGTTGGTTTAATTATTATGACAGTTCTTACGTTTGCAGGTAGAGAACCAGGGAAGCGTTCTGCAGTCCTACTGGGTTGCAGCGGACGGTGTAGTTCAGCGCCTGGCTGGAGGTGAAGGCCGGTCGGCCCCAGAACAGGAACACGGCCGAGGAGCTGTTGGTCCGGGCCTGCACGTTGTGAGGAGGCGGTGGAGGCGGCACCAGGCGATCTCGGACAGCTGCCAGAGACGACACGCTGAGATTTAGTTTAGCTGAAGTGAAGAAAGGAAGTCAGAAGTTTTCCAGTGTTGGACTTACAGACACATCCAGGGGTGCTGATGGTCTGATCTGCTTGGTACCCATCTCCTACAGCGTTGTAAGCCAGGAGCTTGACATGATACTTCTTTCTTGGGTCTGGATTGAGAAACAGAGCGTTTAAATGAGTGTAACTCATTCAATATTGGGTTAAAAGTTCAAAAGAGAGCTGGAGTGTGTGGGACCAGTGGGGTTTTCTGGTGTGGTGGGAAAGAGAGGTGACCCAGTGGAGCAGATGCTTGGTGATGGTCAGTTTTAACCCCACAAAGGGCAGCAGAACAGAGGAGCTCTACTCCATCACCCTGTCAGCTCGGGTCTTTTGATAGCAAATGACAAAGGCTTTTTTCTCTGGCCTGCCGGTCAGTGGCCACTTCGACTCAGGCTCTGAATCTGGGGGTCAAACAGAGAAACCCCCAGGGAGGGGGCGCTGCAGACGGTCAGCAGTGGTTGTGACCTCCGTGACCACAAAGACCCACTGGCCATCTGACCAAATGATCCTTTTACTCCTCAAACAATGACCAGGCCAGGAATTAAATGCTGCATACGAGTTCAGATTTTAAAGGGGACATGCTATTCTTCTGGAACAGGTTAGGATAGCTTTATGGGTTTTACAAACCATGTTCATCACATTTAATTTAAATTTTTTTTTTTTACACAGAATCATTCTTAGATTTTAGTCTGGGACAAGTGATTTCTGAATAGTTAGTCTTTTCCAATAATCAGGAATTTTTTTACTTTACTGATAATGTTAATAAAATTAAGTAATAAATTTATACTACTATAGAAATAGTTTTAGAAACTGCAAAATTTCCAGACACCAGATAAACAAGTTAGTTGGCAAGTTTTGAAAAACACATAAAAAGACAAAAAGTCGCACAACCTCCCCGTATTTTGTGTTTAGCAGGAGACCAACATGCCTATCTGTCACTGTAAGGACATAAGACAAGAAGAAGACAACAGGGGGACAAGCTTGTTTCCATGGAGGCTGAAAAGTTTAGCCGGGGGTGGAGCGAAGCTGCCTGCACCCCCCATGCAGCCCCGAGGAGTTTCACTGAAGTCACACCGGGGCCAGCAGGTCAGACTGAGATAAAACCAAAGAATCCAGGGAGGTGGGAGTGATATATGAGATGAGAGACGGATCCGACGCTGCAACAGTTAGTTGCAAGGACAATAAAGAGCAGCGGATTAATGAGATGAATGGTTCCTGTGAGTTTTTAAATGCTGAAATTAACCAAAATACGGCAGAAACAGCATCACTTTAAGCTGAACTCAGATTTTGAACCGTCTCCAGAGTGGATTTTTTTTTTTAAGTTTAGACCCCAGTGTCCACCTCTTAACAGGAGGAGGCATTTAGAGCGCACCTCTTCCCAGCTCTACAAATACAATGGGCCTGCCGTAATTATGCGCAAGAGGAGCTCTGAGAGGGGGGAAGCTTTGACATCTGGGCCACGACCTTTGACATGGAATCTGGGCAAGCTAAATCCTGCAAAAGGAGGGGATACACATCTCACTCTGAAAGGGGGGGGAGGTCCAGAAGAGGAAGTGAGTGGAAAACCAGGGAATCTCACAAAGAGTGGGAATTAAATTGCTGCTTAAAAAGGGATGTAGCAACATCCTGATAGGAGACAACAGGTCTGTTTTTTGACTTCCTGGTGTAAAACCAAAACTTTACGATGCGGATAAATACAACGCTGCGTCCTTTTGTTTTGGTAAAAATGAGACAATCTTCCATATAATCTAAGATAGTCTATTAAACACTGATTTATTTTAAAACACTAATACAACAACTAAAAAAGCACAAAAAGATAATTTTTTTGACTAAATGAAATGCATAAATACAAACATATAAAGCAAATACAATTTCAAATATATTATATGCACTGGTGGATGGCATGATCGAAGTTTTATTACGATATTTTGTAGTATTATTGTGATAACCATCACAATAACTTTTGTTGTTGCCATGTCGTAAATAAAAACTATTTATTTCTTTTTTAGGTACTGCATGGTTGCGACTGCATAACCCAGCAATCACAGCCTCACAAACACCAGTCTCATAAAAAATGTCTATACTGCACACTGTAACTGCTTTTAATCATATTTATTGATATTCTCAATGAACAAATATTGGAGAAAATAATCCGAATGACAATGCTGATAATACAGACAGTTATAGAGGTCATTACTTGGCATTTATTAGAGCAGCAATATATAAAAATTCTTATGATGTCAAGAAATTTATCACAATAAATGATAAACAATAGGACAAATGCTCACCTTCTACTCTGTTCTCCTTAAATGGCTGCAGAGCTTGTTTTGGGTGCCAGAAGTAAAGCTACTCAGTTATTTGTATGTTGTTGTGTTTGAACCATTTGCAGTTCCCTGGTTTCTCTTTCCTTCCTTTTAAACTTAATTCTTGTTGGCCCCTGAAGTTTTGTTCTGTTGCCAAAAGCCCCCCAGGCCGCAGCAAGCCAGGCCTGAACGGGATCCATAAATGTCAAGTCCTGCATGAACCCCCACACCACAGCATCCATCATCCTCCCCGCCGCCTCCTCTCTATTGAACTCACTCACACAAATCAACTCTCGGACGTCCGCTGACGTTCTCGCAGCTTAACCATGACACAACCTTTTAAAATTGTGTGTTTTCAAAGTGTTTCCGTACACTTTTAATCAGAGTGAGAAGGGATGCAGCACGGCGTGACATAAATCTACATTTGTGCACAGCGCCGACTGGTGCCAACAGGTATGACGGGTATTCAGTAAATGCACCTCTAAGCAGCATAAACACGTGAGAAAGGCTCAAACCACTGAGCCATTTATACCCGGCTGGAGCCGCTCCAACACAGTCCTGCCTCTCTATGTGTGCTTTTAGTCATCGGGATTGTCATAAGCGATGACTGTAAATGGTGGTTGGGGGAGCGACAACACTCTAGTAGCTGCTGACTCAGCAGAATCCAATACTGCCACAGTTAAAAGTTCAGAGATCAATGGTGCTGGCAGAGAAAAAGACACAGCCTCTGTGTTTTACACCGAGTGGATTATAGGAAATGTCATTTACAGAGCGGGGAGATTTAATTTGGAGTGATCGCCTGCTGTAAAAGATCAGCCTGAATGAGCCTCAGCAGCCTGCGCCGCTTCAAAGCCGCATTATTCAAGTTACAAGGGTCCACAGTGTGGTTTATACTAGAATTAGTCAAATATAAATCAAGATAAAAGTGCTGCATGAAAAGAAATGTTTTTCATATGTGGCCTCATCTCTTTAGATCAAGAAAAATCCCCTCAGCTGTCAGGCTAAGACTTCCTCGGTGTTAAAATTCATTCATTGATTTTACTTTTGGTTTACCTGGCTTAAGCAGTATGAAACTATTTTTATGTTATAATAGTGAGAAATATAATCTTGGAGATTAATCTTAACTCAAAGGTTTGGTTCGATTTACTTGTATTGGACATAAAATCTACACAAGTTAGGTTAATTTTACAGAAAGCACATTGCACTAATCACCTGGGTGTCTTAATAAATAATAAAACATTTTATCTATTGAGAAAATGTTGGAAGAACACTTGAGAGGAATATTTTCTTATTTCAAAGAAAAGTGTCTCTTGCTGTTTATTTTGTGCAAGTTAAATTTTTGATAACTAACAAAGAGGATGTGGGATGATTCGTCAGCTGCGGCTGGTTTTTAAGTAATTTTGTTGCGTGAATTGCGTGTTTTGCCAATTTGATGCAAAAATGCATCCAGATTTTGTCGTATTCAAGCAAAATAACATACATCACTTTATGTTTCAACCTGAAACCTTTGCATACCTTTCATTTACATCTGGTTGTACTAAGTGCTGCAGCTCAGAGAGGCAGTTCTCAGACCTGCCTATTGTTTGGGCAACAACTCATTTGGCCAAAGGATGCATTTCCTTTAGGTCCTGGCTAATAAACCCTCTTTGTGGCTCTGAAAGCCAAACACAATGAGACTCTTTGATCTCTGTGCTCCTCAAGCAAAACTGGTCAAAGCAGTCATAAAACACGTGATAAATCAGCCTCCACAGAACAGCTTTCTTCTTTTTAACACACAACCCTGCAAGAGTCTTTTAACAAACAGGAACAAAACAACTCAGAGCTATAGCTCTGTTATTTATTTAGCCAGTTGCTGCTACATTTAAAATATATTTTACAGTAAGAAAAATATCCAAAAAGCATAATTACATTGGTATAAAAGTTAACATATTGAGATATTGCCAGTTTTCCGCAGCCTTTTAAGTACATTATGACTCTTGCTAATGATTTTCAGCTATATTTAACAGCAGCTGTGATTTACTGTGCCTTTCTGATCTCCCACAATCACAGAGCTTCCTGATTTACAAGTTAGCCGCTGACCAGCTGGCTGACCCCTTTGGCCACAGATGGTCAGATGTCCAGAACACTGGCTGGAGCCGCCGCTCCTCTTTCAAACAAAACACAGAAAATGAATCTGACCTAAAGGGCCAGAAGAGCTCTGATGTGCCCCCAAAGTCTATTCAGCAGCCACAGAAAAGCCCCATGCAGAAATACTGCTCAGAGGTGAAAGGTCATGGAAATGGGATGTGGTTCTGTTCAAAAACTTAAGCCTATTAATCATTCACAAGTTTGGGTGTCAACAGATGTGACGACTGCTTCTACCTGAACCCAAGACTTTTTCTGAATGTATGTGTTGGAGAGAATATGGAGGGAGATCAAAATGAAGGTAAATTAAATAAAATCTTTTTTTTCAACCAGTTCTGATTTTAATAGATTTTTTGTTCTGAAAATAAATCCAGATTTACAACAAAAAAAAAATTAACCTTCGAAAACCAAAGATTTGATTGATTGATAGAATCAATTTATCCCAATGGTAGAGGCAAAGAGACAATCCAGGCCTGAACCTCATCACTATAGACAAATTGTTAAAATGACCAGTGGAAACATGCAAACAATTAGAAAAAGGGTTTGATTGCTGAAATGCCAGTAATTCCTCTAGCTGTACATTTGTAGTTGAACCAAAAACAAACTATTTTAGTTGGTCTCTTAGAGAACTGGAGAGCTTCCTGAAGACAATGACTTTGGATGCATTTCCATCACTAACACACTGTAATGATAAAGTGAAGAAGCCAGTCACTGAGAAATGGATAAATAAAACCAACATTCGACATAAAGGCGTTACCCTATTTTAATTCCAGAGAGTCTGTTTAAGGTTTAGGACACAATAAAAACAGATTTCCTTGAAAAAGTGAAAATTAAAGGAGAGTTGGTCTACGTAAAAAGCAAAAAGTAATTATCTGAAGCGAAACTCACCAAGGCCCTCAATGGTGTGTTTGTGAGCGGAGGCCTGCAGCTGGAGTGGAGCGCTTTCCGGCTGACTTTCCTCGTGGTAGAAGAGCCTGTAGCCGCGAACGCTGGCCGAGTTTCTGGGCGTCAGATGCCAGCGGGCTGAAATGGTGGTGCAGTTCAGAGGCTCCAGGTACAACTCAGGAGCAAGAGGAACTGCGCAGACACAGAGTTAGAAACGCCGATGTATTAAAGCAGGATATTGGACATTTATTCACCAAACTTTTACATCATTTTATTTTCGGTAAGTCAGAATAAGCTGTGCCATTCTGATTCACAGACTCAGAAATGGTCGCTCAGGGAATTTTAAAGAATTTCATTCCAAATCGACTCCCATTGATTTAGACGCTTGGTGAAAACGTATTTTGTTCAACACCAAATTAACTATTTCAATAAAACTCTGTGCAAAGTGTTGTTTGATTGGTCAAAGGGTTGATGCCATGTTTTACATGGAAATGCACTTAGATAACGACGGTGATATTTCTCCTCAACGAGTCTGCTTCCTCAACCTGGTGGATGTATCCACACGAGGAACACTTATAGTGACACAATGCATAATTATACATAGTACTGTACAATCCTTCACTAACTTTAATTATCACACTAGCAGGGAGTGAAATAAATCTAATGAAACACTCTTTTAAATTGCAAAAATAACTTGCTAGATATTGAAAGTTCCAGCTGTTATGGATAAACGGGCAAATATATTTAGTCACAGGACATTTAAAGAACTGCGTGGTTAAAATAAGCAAAAATATACAGGCGGAGATTTGAAACTTAGGTGTAAAAGGGTTAAAGATGACTAGTAAAAGATAATCTCAATTATTAGCATTTAAAAATATGTTTTAATAGTTTGTTTCTTTAGGAACTAATACTGACAGCATAAATCTGAAGTTTGGAAGTAGCTAACTCAGTATCTGAACAGCATCACAGGTGCAACAACCGTTACGTTTTCCCTAAAATGTAGTATTTTTTTTGTCCTGCTTGAGTCTCATGACGAATCAAAGTGGTGCACCTTGAGCGCTCGATGCCTTTGGGGTGCGGTGAGACGTCCAAGCGGACTGCTCTCCCCACCCTACACCGGTGGCAGCCACAAGTCGCACAAGGTAGATGGTGTCCGGCTGCAGGCTTTCCAGGAGATGTTGGGTCTTCTCTCCAGGCAGCTCTATCTGTGACACCGCGCTCTCCGAACTGGTGCGGTAGGACAGGCGGTAGCTCGAAACTCGCCCACGACTCAGCTTCATTGGAAGAGGTTGCCATGTCACCTGAATGTCTGTGGGGCTGCGGCTGGTCAGGCTGATCTCCGGCGCCCGGAGAGGAACTGCATGCAGAAATGATAAAAGTGAAATGAAAGACAGCGCGAACCTGAAGGTAAAGTTTGGAGCATAAAATTGGCTGATTGGCTGAACAGTCTGTCATGACATTTTCCCTCTCATTGTCCCGATTGGCTGAGTTGTTTTCAAAGAGACAGACAGAAATATAAACTTTCACCCTCAACGGAAACCCACCTGATCGACATGTGAACTGTGCTTAAGCTTAAAAGTTTTATTTTCTACATTATCGTTATTTTTTCTCTATTTGTGAGTGCAGCTCTGTGAGAATCCCCTTTTTGTTTCTCACATCTGGGACGGGAAACATTCCCAGGTGTGTCGTCCGTTTCTGAATCTAAAGAACCTGCTGACGTCCAAAGAGACCGTGGAGGTTTCCTCTGTGTTCACTGAGGTAGAGAGACGAGCGTAAAGACACCAAACATCCACAACAACCAGTTACAAGAGCAAACCCAGCTGCGGCTCAAGGCCCTTTATAATTGTCCTGAGGGGATTCTGAGGGGATTGTTGGTGGATTATTTGGTGGTTTGTCTTCTTATTGCTTTACTTTTTGTGATAGAAGTAGTTCTTAATTGATTCATAGTAAGTTGTTCAATATTCAACAAATTGAATATTGTTCTTTTATTTATTAAACACAATATTTTTTCCCTCTTCTCTTCAGTGCAACTATCACTAACGGTGTACTATTCATCCATTAGATGCAATTAATTTTACATCCTGTTACCATACCGAGCTGGCTTTTAAAAACTAATTAAACTGATTGATTTGTGGATTAAAATGTCTCCTGCGTATAGGCCTCACCGTCCTCCAGCGTGTGCTGGAACACGTGGTCCGACATGCGACTGGCTCCCATGGGCATGTAGGCCACCACGTAGAAGGTGTAGTTACGAGCCGGCTCCAGATCATCAATAATGTAGCGAGTCGTATCGTTTCCGATGACTACTTGATATTCCTCGTTGTTTAATCCTGGAGAGAAGATTAGATTAGGAGATGTTGAGACTTTATCAAAGTCTTCAATCAGACCCAAAAACCCTGGATAGAAAAGGAAACCAAGTCCTTAATTAATATCTAACACCTGCTGTGAAATTAATTAGTCTTGTTGGGTGTAATGATGTTAAAATTTCCTGAGAGCTACAATCACTTACAGACTAAAATCTGCAAATTCTCAACTAAGATTTGTGGCACCGGAGAAAAAAAAGACCAGCACTGATTCTTGACCTGGTAAACAAAATACTTGGGAGTAAACAAAAAGACCCTCTAAATAGACCGAAAGCCTCAGCAAGCTTCAATGAAAAGAAACAAAGCTTTCCTTTCTGTCAAATCCACACCGTTTTGTTGCCTCGCAGAACACACACTTTTGAGCACTCCATCACAAAGACTAATTAGTCCCTCCTTTCTGCAGAGCCTCTCTGTCAACAACCTCAGGTGCAGAGTGCACTGTCTGATACTCTGTCAATGTCAATGGACGGCTATTCTTTCTGAAAGAGACCAACGTGATTGTGTTGAAAAGAAATCTATACTGAGAGCTGAAAATCCCTGACAGATGTCAGGGTTTCGGGAATGAAACAGAAGGAATTTGCTCAGCTCCTGTTTTGACCTCTTTATCCAACACCGTGCAGGTGGTCCTTTCTTCAAGTTGAATTCTGTACATTTCCTTTCCAAAGGAAAGTCAGCAGCTTTGTCATTAAGTACTGTGCATTTCTTTTGGAAACGTAGAAGTGTTTGAATGTGAGTTTTGTCATCAGCGGAAATCTAAAATACTTGAAGGTTTTTGTGCTGCTACAATGCATTCCAGTTGCTTTTCAGGGTGAATTATCAGCCAGAGAAAAAGACTATCCCCCTTGAAATACTACAGGCTGACAAAAACGAAGAAGAAAAAAAGAAAGACTCAAAACCCAAAGTATCAAGACATTATTTACCTTCAGCTTTCATGTAGTGCACAGAATATGCAATAACTTTATCAGAGTTGTACTGAGGTCTGTCCCAAGCCAAGAGGATGGCGGAGCTGGACACGGTGTCAGCTCGGATGTTTCTGGGCGCGCTCGGTCGGTCCTCTGACATCACCACGATGAGCCTGGCCATGGACAGAACCGAGCCCAGCTCGTTCTCTGCCTGGCACTGATAAATGGCGTCGTCTTCCAGGATGATCTGGTTGATGACCAGTTTGCTAGAAGATACAAAATAAAGATCGTAAAAGCTGTTTTGAGTTTTATGAAACAACTCTTTATTTTATGAAAAAAAAAGTCAAATTTTTTGATAAAAGGTTTTTGTTCAAAACTGCAATGGAATCACTTTTTTTGTTTTTACTTGAACTATTAATGTCTGATTTTAATTCCATTTCTTATTTAATGGAAACACCACAATCAAGTAATATCAAAAAAAACTTTTGCATACATTTGTAATGGAAGTGATTTTTAATAATTTGGTGAAAACATTGGAAAACCAACAAATGTTTTAAAATACCTTTGCAAATTTTAGCTATTTTTTTAGGGGCATTTTTGTATTGAACCACAGAATGACACAAGTATTGGTAACATTCACAGCAATACTCCTATCATTACTTTGGAAACTAAGTGCTTTATTTGGTTTAAATCATTTTCCACAATCATCATCAAAGAAAATATATAAATCCTCTTTTTGTAAGTACTTTATGTTTTGCCTTGTTTAAAATCTAAAAGCAGAAATAAAACGGCGGTTCTTTAAAAATTAACCCAAATTTCCAATTGTAGATACTTGTTAAATGTTTTAATAAAGAGTTATGTAAAATGTGTGGCTCTAGCCATGTTTGTAATGGTTGCAGACCTCTTTTCTCTGGTGTTGTTGGTCTATAATCACTGTAACAAGCAGCAACAGTTAAATAAGGACCAGGAACACATTATTGGAAAACCAACTAAAATCCAATCTACACTGCTGTAAATTATTCAGTTTCCTTTTTACTGCAGGGACAAGAGTAAATTATTTATTTAAGCAGCTTTGAACTGGTTTACAGCCACTGTTAAAGGATTGTTTTTGCACTCAATGTAAACCGAATTGAATTGTCAGGGAAGTAAATTTGAAACACTGAACTTCAGATAAATCTCGGGTAGAAACAGACCTGTGGTACATCTTGATGCGCCCGTTGGAGTGAACTTTCTCTCCGTTCTTGAACCACGTTATCTGAGGCGCTGGCGCTCCCTCGGCTTGGCACACAAAGCGAGCGGTGCCAGCGCGCGGACGGGTCAAGCTCTCTGGCCACTCCACGAAGGATGGAGGGGCTTTACAGCAGCACAAAAGCCAAGTTTCAAAGTTATAAATCATCCAAATGAAATTAATATACTGAATATTTTAATCTTCACCTAGCACTGTGACGTTAGCTGAAGCGACGGTGAAATTGCGTGTGCCTGGAGTGGTGGCTCTGCACATGTAGACTCCGCCATGTTGGGGCTTGATGTCTGTGATGATGAGGTTCCCATTGCCCAACACTTTGGTGTTGTAAACATCAATAGACTTGCTGTCTGCGCGGCTCCAGGAGATCAGCGGTCGGGGACTTCCTGTGGCCAGGCACTCCAGGATGGCACTCTGGTGCAGCGATACGGAGACGTTCTGAGGCCCAGCAATGATGCGCGGCCTCTGAGGAGGAATGGGGCCAGGAGCTTGGTACAGACAAACACACAGGATCAGTGATTTCATCAAGAGTTTCAGTAAACATGTAAAATTCACATTTTACATGTTTACAACAAAACAGACGTGTTTTGTTGTGCATTTATGATTCACTATATTGATGTAGGCCTGTCACAATAATCAATTAATCACTTCCACTGGTATGATTTATTGTTTATCTTGTTTTTTCTCTCTTTCTACCAAAAACTGGATGATAAAAGTCTTCACTTTGGTCTCAATCAGCCCTTTTTTAGGACAATTTTGTTTACAAAGACTTCAAACTTTATTTCATTTGTAGTTTGTTTATTTATTTTGGATATTTAAAATGTCTTCCATTTCCAGTGTTAAATGTTCATTAAAATGTTATGTTTACTGATCCTTTAGAATGTGCTCCTGCATTATTATTTTCCCATTAACATTATATTACTTTAAAATGTTCTGAAAACAACAATATTATCGTTTATCGCAATAACTTCTGGAACAATTTATTGTTCAGCAAAAGTTGTTGTGGTGACAGGGATTTAATATTCATACATATTATGAATAATTGCACATCTGTTTGCAGCCATTTTCAGGTGCGAGTGTAAATGTTGAGTTTGGGCGTAGAAAGAAGATAAAAATAGTGATAACTGACCAAAATCTCATAATCTGAGAATGATTTAGTGCAAAAATCCAATGAACGTGTTTTGTATAGCCAACAGACCTACCCTAACCAGTTCAGAGACGTATTATAGGTCACCTTTCACTTAGAGTGATGCTCTATAACCAAGATTTACATCAAATAATTTTATCTGTTTACAAACCTGGGGTTACAGTGAGAGTGGCTTCGATGCTTCGCCGCCGGCTGGCGATGTTGGTGGCTATGCAGCGGTAGTGCCCAGCATCTCCTCGCTGCACGCCTTGGATCTGAAGAACGCCGCTGGGCAGGACTGTGATTCTGAATGGCAGGGAAGGAACTACATGTCAGATAACAACTAGAAATGGACAAATAAACCCGATGGGGAACTAATCAGCATTCTCTTAGCTGGTTTTGATTGGCAGTTGATGGGTCAAACACTGACGTATCTGTTGTTATTTACATGCCTTCTAATCTAAATAGTCCAATTATGGTCAGTCTGCAAAAACACTTATTTGTGTTCTAAAAGTGTTAAAAAGTAACGTACATGGTTTTAAACTGAAGATGATAATGCATACCTGTCAGTGGAGAGGGGTAACGTGACCCGGTTGAACTCCCAAGTGATGATGGGAGGCGGGTGGGAACTGATTTTACAGGAAAACCTGGCAACCGAGCCCTCGGCCACCACTACGGACGACGGCTGGAGTGCAAAAGATGACATACCTGAACAAAAGAGACAAAATAATTAGATCAAATTTTCCCCTGTATTTGAGACTAAGAAAGGCGAAGCTTTCTAAGTAGCATGTTTCTAGTAGCATGTTGTAGAAAAAAGGAGGAAAATCAGTTTTCCTCTGCATTACTGCTGTGTTGTACAAAAGTGTCGGTAAATCTCACTGAGGATGTCTTCAATCTTTGCTGTGAAGAAACAAGCTCAACTGAACGCAGGTAAACGAAAACAAGGTTTGATGGTTCTGTATTGAATTCAGTTCTTTTAGCAGCATTTCCAGTAATTATTACTGCTTTAGTACCTTTAAAGTGTCTGAGAAGCATTTTTTTAACTTCAAACTATATCACAATTATCAAAACTATTCAATACAGAAACAATATTGATTACTTTCTTGCTTTAATTCAGTTAAAACTTCATTCAACAGAATAAATAATACTTTTTTACAACACTTTTGTGCACGAACTTTGAAGTGATGAATGCTGCTTTTCACGTGATGAACGTGAAGGTGACGCTCTATTTGGATATTAGATTTTCGTTGTTCTTTCAGGAATAGAAACATATCCTGATTTTGCAGTGGATGTGATCTTCAAAATCACATATACCGCAGATTTTGCAGTATTTGTGAGAAACAAGATTATTAATCTCTGGTCGCTTTTAAGTTAAATTAATTCAGCTTCACTTCATTCGTAAAGAAAGACTCAACCAAGAAAAAAACGTTATAAAAGAAAAATGAAAGATAGCTTGTGTACATTGAATTAAAAATGTTTAGGCGATGAACTATGAACATGAAAGAAGTCATTTAAAGCTGGCTGAACTGATTATAAAACTAGTTCTCATTAAGGTGAACTGGCACAGCATTGATTTGCAGCATCCGTCCATGTCAGTCAGTAACTGGACGTCGTGCCTTAAGACCTAAAGCCAGAGACGAGCCGCTTTCTGCTGGAAGGTGTTGACTGCAGTAGAACAGCTACATCCTGCATGGATAAGGTTTCCCTGAAACTGAACCTGGGTCAACAACCAACTGACCCACAAGTAAATGAGACCCACTGGGAACGATCAGCAAGGCCTTTTATGCAACCACAGAAATGAAGGGAAAAGAAACAGAAAATAACTTGACATTGATTTAAAAATCTTTGTCACATAAAAATATGTGACAGATTTTTGTCTTGAAAGTGAAATCTGCAAGGGAAACTAGTATTTTTTTCATTGATATTAAAAAATTACTGACTTAAAACGAGCTCCGGTAACTTTCAGAAATGTTGCTTGTAAGTTAGTTTTTATTTACACTATAAACTGGACTAGAAATACACGGTAAAACTTATAGATGGGTATTTTTTCTGACACTTTGCCACCTCCGCTTTTGAGAAAGCTGTGCAGAAAATTCCTGCGCTGCAGTAAACGCAGCGTGGTGAGCGCGGAGGAATGATGAATGTCTCTGTGTAAGCAGCGCTGCCAGGTGTTATGGTGCTAAACAGCAGGAGAGCTCGGACTTCCAAAGGAAACAAAACAATAAATTATGACATTTACAAGCCTGACAGCAACTTTCTTATAAATCACGCTGACATTCACGTATGGAAGAACAGCACAGTTCAAACAATAAACGTTTTATACAGGTTCGATTTGGTTCTGTTTGGACGGGAGGCAAATTGAGGCCCGGATCAGTCGTCCTCCTCACTCTGGTCCGGTTTAATCAAATTAGTCCTGAGCTGTTAGCGCGTTAGCTTCAGCTCCTCGGAGGCTGTTTGATGTGACTATGGAGGTGAGAAAAGGCCTTTCTGTCCGACACAGACCCGCCATGTGTTGACGAGACGTGGCTCTTCTCATCCTGCTCTACCTATTCTACAGGGAACGGTATCGACAAACACAGGGACGGGTATTGATTATTGGTAACCTATTAATGCTAGATGGAAATAAATCGATCTGAGCTTCTTTGTGTATATTTCAGCAAATTCTATTTTATTATTTCAGTAAATTTTAAAGGATTTAGAGGCATTAAGTTATGCTTTCTTTCCTTTTCTGTCTGCAGAACATGCTTATTTTAGTAAATGTAAAAGCATTTAAAGGTATTAAGTGCTGCTATTTCTTACTTTTTAAGACAGTAAACCTTGCTCAACTTTACTAAAACAAAAAAAAAACTCATTTTGAACTCAATCCTACCCACACAAAAATAAAAACATAGGTACATGTATTGTTTATTGATAAACTATTAAGGATAGGTGTAAAAAAAGTCAATACAATTTGAGTCTCTATGTATATATTTCAAAATATCTTACACTATTATATTATCTTAGTACATTTAAAAGAATTAATTACTACTTTTTTTCATTTTTTGTCTGTAAAATTTGTTTACTTCAGTAAATCTAAAAGTTTTAGCGGTATTAGGTTATGTTTCCTTTTCTATTTCTTTACTTTTCTGTCTCTAAAATTTGCATAATTAAACTAAAATGTGCAAAAACAAAAGTTTTGATGAAGCATTTTGAGCTCGGCCCCACTCAAACAGAAAATAAATACCTCTGCCATTTCCTCAAAAGCTTGAAGAAACAGTTCTGACCATCTGCCCCTCTCTGCAATCTCACCTCTCACCTCTGACCTCCACAAATCTCGACTAACACTCGCTCAGGCAGCTCCCAGTTTGACCACCCCGAACCAGTCCTGGTGCTCACTGCTGCTTCACTTAAACCTTTCATTAAAGGGTTTAAAATGGGATTTATGAAGCAAAAAAAAAAAGAAACTCAACCAGCTACAAAATATTATCATATCAAAATTTGATTATTCTGTTCTTTGTGTTATTTTTAGGAATAAAAAGATGCCTCAATGACAAAAGAAATACAAAACAAAGTCTTTCTGGATTATTATACAACTCGATCACCTTTCAGACTAAACTGAAATACCAATGTGAAGTGTATCCACCAAAACTCTTCATAATTCAGATGGTGGCGACTCAACAAACTAAAGGTCAGCGGAGAGGTCAAGCCCAAACAAAGATCCTCTGCAAATGGCAGGAATTAGCTCAGCCTCTCTCCTCTAGTCGCTACGGTTCGTTCATTAGGAAGCTTCACAACTTATGTAAATAGTTATTTCTGCTAAATACAAAATTTCTTATCTTATTTTGCTTCCGTTTTGTTCTGAACCAATAAATTGCAATTTTCTGGTGTTGAAGGGAAATTTGGTTTGTTTACTCAAAGAGCTGGATGACAAATCGACTTTATTAATCAATCAAAATTTGGGGCTTTGAAGATTTAATTTAGGAAAAATCTGTTTTTTTTTTCCACAGATTCTTTGGGAAAGTATCATTCAGAGTGATGTCACTACACCTGATGGCCGCCATCTTGTTCAACTAGCCTGTTTTACCGCTTTTATCTATTTGGCCTTTTAATTCAGGTAAACTCGACCACAAATCATCAGCGCCAGGCTACGATTAAAAAATAAAGTGTAAAAAAGAATGAAGTTACAAGAGCACAATCATAATAACACGAGAACGAAGTCATGTGAAAATAAAGTTCAAATAATGAGAGAATAAAATGTCAATTTTACCAGAGTATGTTGGAGCGTCTTGTTAAGTTTTGATCTTGAAAACTCTAGAAACTTTTCTCCCACTGAAACAACTTTTTTCCTTGTAATTTTAAGATGTTTCTTTTGGTAAAATTGCATCTTTATTCTGCTCAAATTATGACTATAACGTTGAAATGAAACAAAACTTCTCGTAGCCTGGTCCTGACTCTCTGTTGTGCACAGACAGAATGACTGAAATAAAAGCCACTTTTTCTATCATTTGTCATTTCATTTTTAGAAAAGAAAGCAAAAAGGAAAATCAGATTTTGTATGAAAACACATGAGAAGCCCATTTGCTCACTAAAAGTTTAAATTGACATTAAATAATATCAATATTGATCAACCTTGTCAGACCTTGAAGGCAATAAGTTCACTAAGTCAACACATCTGATACGTTTCCATCACAGTTGTGTACCAGATAATCTTTTGCTTAGTTCACCTCTTCCCCTAAAAAAACCACACCAACTAATCAATTAAGCGATAGTTCTTCCTTAAGTTCACCGGCCCCTGTGAACTTTAATAAGAATATGAAAAAATTGATAAGCTGCGAGACGAATGCAAAGCTGGAAAAGGCCACAAATCAATGGCTGGCTGTTTGGCAGATGTGCTGCTGCGTAGCAGAGTGTGCAGGACAGTCCAGTGACCATTGGCCTGGCTAAACAAAGACCTATTCCCATGAGCAGCGTGACCTCTAAACGCTGCAGTGGGGGAGCTCTGCAGGCCATTCATCCCCCTCCTCCAGCTCCTTATCTCCTTCACAAAGTTTTCCAATCAGTCAACAGCGACCCTCCTCTGACAACAGAGGCTTCATTGTTTTTAATCCCTGTATCAGATCAGACTTTAAAAGTCAACCCGTAGACCCACCTTTGCTTGGAAATGGTTTTATTCATTCCTCTGGAGCGGACAGCAAATAAAACTGCAGGTAAACTTTTAAACTCATGTGAAATAACAGAACATTGCACAAAAATAGAAGCGGCAGATAAAGTTAGATGCCCATCTCGCACTATTGAACTAAAGATTATATCCCAGTCTCGGACCGGCTGCCTTCCATCTATTTACCAGTTTTAGGAAACCTTTGACCTCAGGGTCTGCTGTTCAGGGGAACCATGGTAACCTTTCGTCTCCAGCAGAGGAGAAAAACAAGAATCCAGGCTTTGAATTGTCTCCCTTCAGGGCATTTCATTCGTTCACCTCGCTGTTCACACTGTGCAGGGTTTGCGTTTGACTTATAGGGGGGTTTCTAATAGTGTCAAGTCAGATGCATGCCTTAGCAACCTAAAGAAATGTTCCTGAGCTGACATCCTTTGGGAAACACCAGGGAGGTAAAAATAAATTGCAGTGGCTCCTTTGTGGCCGTTAACGTCTTAAAAGTTTGGTCTGCAGCAAGCATTAAACATATTAACTACAGGAAATTACAAATATTCAGCCGGGACAGGGCAAACAGAGCCAACACAAAAGGAGGCAGAGATGCCCCAAAAGGAGGAGTGATACATTTCTTATCATGGTAAGATTTTAATTCATCATTGTGGCAATAAATTCCACTTAATGATGTTGAAAACCCTCAAAAACTCTAAAGATTGTCATTTTAACATAGGGCTGGACGATACAGCTGAAAACAACAATATAAGTGTCTCATATCAGTCAATGTTGATAATTATTGATTGTTTCCCTTGTTATAAGTGAAATAATCTGTCAGTGAAACCAGTACTTTTTGATCAACATTAAGGAATTATTGGCGTAAAAACAATCCTGTATCTCAAAACAGTTGCCTGTAAATTAGTTTTGTCTAATTTCAAGGATGCAAACGTTATTTGCAGTAGAAATTAGACGAGAACTACCTGGTACGATTGTGTGTTTTGACATTTTTGCCATGCTGGCAAGTTTTCAAAGGACTGCTCTTTTACCACTCATTTGGTTGACGTTTGATGACGCATCCAAAAGTTTTAGGAGAGCGGAATTTGCCAAGCACTTTCACCAATTAAATGGTAAAACCAGAGCTATAAACACCACCAGCTGAGTGTAACATTTAGACTGAAATAATGGAGATAAATATGACAGCATCTTCTGGTCATGACAAAAACATGGAGCCAACATGAGGAGGCATTCTCTCAATGGAAATCGCCATCAATCTGAAGTCTGTTGACAAACGTCACGCAGTGAAGCTCGGGTGTCACATTCCTTCCCATCGAGGCCGAATCCCGACCCACCTTTGTGGTTTACGACCCTCCATCAACGCCGTGTTCCTCTACTGACAGCCAGCGGCTTCGACATGTGTGTGAAGGGTTAAAACGCTCCCACAGAGCATAACTCCTGCACCAAACACATAAAGCATGTCAGGAGAGTCGGCCACATGTCCTGACTTCCACTTTCAACCCCAGCCGCTAACATACGACAGCACCTCCAGGCGCAAAAGTTGCTAAACATAATTTATTTCAAGCCCATTGGTCATATATAAACTACAGCAAACTGCCCTGACGTTTTAATCAAAACACAAACTTACCAATGATTAACTTTTACGATGAGCGTAATTACACTTCTTACTGCTTATCTGTCCACCTATTTAAGGACAACTGCCCTCAAAGAGTCCCGTTTCTTTTGTGAAGGCAGCGGGGACAAAACCGGCCAGAGAGAAAAGCCTTTCAGCCGTCCATGGGAGTGGTGAGGCAGAAAACAATTGTGTGCAAAGCCTCCAATTCCTCCTGACCTGGGAAGGCCTGCAATAAAGTTTGGTCATTTAGACACTCAGGGTAAAACCCCCAGAATGCAGAGAAACAACAGCTCACATTGGTGTGTGTGTGTGTGTGTGTGTGTGTGTGTGTGTGTGTGTGTGTGTGTGTGTGTGTGTGTGCGTGTGGGTGTGTGTGTGTGTGTGTGTGTGTGTGCGTGTGTGTGTGCGTGTGCGTGTGTGTGTGTGAGGAGGCTCATCCCCCACTGCTCCGCTGGCCTTCCACTGAGCATTTCTCAGGTATGTGAAAAGTTTATGAGCTTCCAGATAGAGCTTCTAGCAGGGCTAAGTGTCCATCCAAAACAAACTGGAAAAGCTTGGTGGCAGCTTTTACTGCCACTTTATTTCAAGCTACAGAGCCAGCAAAGTATTGATTAATTGATAAAAATGTATGAACTGGTGAGAAGTTTCAGAATGGCAGACATTAACAACGTTTTTCTTCATATAATAGAAATGAATGCTGAACTCACTCACCTCTAAATGAAATAACCACTTCAAAACCTTCAACAGATTTATCAAATTTCAGTAACAACAACCAGCCTGGTTGGATGATAAATGATAAATTGGTAAATTATCCCAGCAATAATCGCGATAAACGATAATATCATTTTTTTGAGAAAATTTTCAAGTAATATATTGACGATGGCTTAATAATCCACCTTTTAAAAATCAATAAACTTTAGTTATGTAAAGAATACTTCACACTTTAACTGGAAGAAATTTTAAATATTCAAAATATAATGGAAAATAAATCCAACAAAACAGTCTGTGAACAAAATCACCATTCAATTTAGTTCTACAACTAATGATTATATTGGTTAGCAATTACTCTATTGATTATTCTGATGATTAATATTGATACAATATTTGAATTATGTTAAAAGATACAAATTAACCAACAGTTTGATTCCTTTTGTCAGCAGGAAAATAAATATTTTACTGCCTAAAATGCAATAAAATAGGATTTTTTACTCAATCTGCAGATTTACTTGAAGAGATTCCGGTCAAACATATTTATCATCAACATGTTTTATCACAAATGCAAAATGTGTGTAATTTTTTAACAGTTTTGGAATAATTACCATTCTGGATACATAGTTTCTTGGGTGAAAGTAGTTGATCATCATGGTTAAGCTGACTGATTGGATTAATCAGAATGAAAATGATTGAGCTCATTTGGCTAATTGCTTAATGCGACACGTTTTAACTCTGATGGAAATGCGTTGATCAAAGTTTGGTGTGGTATTGGTAGAGATGGCATAAGGTCCCAGCGGACACATCTCTGACCTTCCTCCCCCTTAAAATACGACAGGCGCTGCCTGCGCTGCGTTGGGGGAGCGCAGGCATTCCTAAAGAAACAATTCCTCAAGTGATCAGGGTGCAACAACATGAAAGCCCGGCCAGTGAATAGGGGTCATCTGCTCTTTAGCGGTGCAGGGCCAGTTTCCTGGACAGCTCCTAACCTTTCAAATCTCCCTCCCCTTCATTAACACACCAATGAGCCTTTTCCCAATCAACCAGCAGCTCCTCCACTCAAACTCCGAACACTTTGTTCTGGCTGCTGCCAACGCAGTCCTGAAGGTACCAGATACAGAAATAATGGTACGATTTCCTGTTAAAGAATGCTTACCTATGACAAAAATAACTTGCATTTAACATCTAAGCTGCATGTAATTTTGTCAAACTGATCGATCACCAAAGCGACCTGAACGGCAGCCATGTTTGGGTTGGTTTAATCCAACGCTGCAGACCAAAAAAATCTACTGGTTCGCCTAAAAACCACGGCCTCGGTTCAATTAAAGTGAACTCTGGTGCAATTTGAATGCATGTTTGAATGCAAGCTGACCGGACACCGCTCCAAAAGCAGGAAGTGGACTACAACCCAGGGCATTCTGGGTAAATTCAACCAAAACAAACGTGTCAGCCGAACGCTTGTGGGAGAAACGATCATGATTTTTTTTACCAATTACAAAAGAGAAATCCTATTTTGACTTAAATCTGGTGAAGAAGGAAATTGAGTTCAGTGTCTTCTTCAGATGTTTTTTTGTGCCATTTCCTTCAGCGGTTTCTGATGCAGCGCCACCACAGGTGAGGAGGGGAACAAGTTTCTCAAAGCGCAATATGAAAGTGAACCAGATGAAAATGTAACAGATGTTGCAATTTTGGTCCCGACCGTGACAACAATTTTGATTTATCGTATTGAAAAGCACTAACAGTATTATGTAACATGTTAGTTTTACTATTTCTTTCCACTGTTTCTTCCACAAGCAGAAAATAACTATCATTAAAATGATATAAATAATGACGATATAAATCACCCGGTAAGCAGCGTCTTGAAGATTTTAATTTCAAGAGCAGTACTTGTCTCTGTGGATACTGTGACAGGCAATTATATAAAATACAACAAAATATTGCAATAAAAGTCAATGTTGTCCACTGATATCTCCTAACCGAAGTGCTTGCTGTACTCACTTGCGATTGTGAGATGGGCTTTCTGGCTCAGGATTGTTCCGTACTTGTTTTGAGCAAGGCACTGATAGCAGCCTTCGTCTGATTTGTCTCCTCTTCTGCTTTCCACCTCCGAAATAAAAAGGGAGCCGTTGGAAAGCAGGTAGACCCGTTCATTTTCCACGACTTTCACTCCGTTCCTGAGCCACCTGACGTCGATCGACGCCTCTCCGCGCGCCTGGCAGTCCAAAATAACCGCCTCCTTCCGCATGACGGTGACATCATGGGGCTCTTTGACGAAAAATAACTCGCTGAAGCTAAAAACACCTGTGGAAGACAAACAAAGAGAGAATGGAAGCTTATTGAGGATCTCGACACTTTCAGCTCATGGTGGCAGTAATTACGCGAGTTAAAGAGGTTTGGTCAACTTTGAATAGGCATGGCCAGTGAAAGTGGAAACAAATACTTGCTCCTCACATTTAAAGGCTGGAGGGCGGCCAAATGGAGGTTTACTGCCCGATGCAGCAGCAGCTGCACCAAACAGCATTTCTGCTCCATTTATTTTAAAGTCACCTGCTGAAACAAATGATCCTCCATCTCTACATGGAAACATCGATTCACCACAACCAGAAACACTTTGTCTTGTCAAATGACTTCGGGTTCACCAGCTGGGATGCTTTTTGTGGGTTTAGAGTTAAGCTTTCATTCCTAACTCTGTGTGTCTAAGAGGTAGGGGAGGGTGAAGGTAATGGCTTTTCAGTCCTGAAGACAGTAAAACATGTTTTTAATGGAGGTGTAGCAGTACATTAAGCTGGGTTTGACTGTTAAATGCCATTTATAAGCGTTCAAATATGACCAAATTACATATTTTGACAAAAGTGTGAGTATCAAAAGAGTTTCGTTTAAAAAGCTCATTTAAAAAATAATTTCATATCATTTTCAACATGAAAAATAAATAAAAAGCTAGAAAAAGTAGCACTGTCTTAACATAAAATCAACTTTAAAGTTTAAATTAAAAATGTTCCTTCACAATCATAAAAATGTATGACAGGATTCATAAATGATAAGAAAAAACAAATTCTTAACATTTTAGTTAAACAACCTGAATTAAGTGCAAAACAGTAAAGAGATGCACAATATATACTGTTATTGCAATATTGGTTTGAACAATATAAGGACTGATAACGTTTAATATCTGCAGATTCAGTAATAATAAATATGGACAGACTTCAATTCTAATGCTTCCATCACATTATATTCATGATCGATTTTATAGGCTCATTTTATTCATATAATCAATATTGTTACCACAATGTTCAACAACACCATCACAATCAAGTATTTTTCTAATGTCAAGAGACAATATAAACCTTACTGTAATAAGCTTTGGTACAATAAGTATCACTATTTATGATTTCATGGCCCCAGGACGACTAATTTATTCCAATAGTAGCATCACTAGCAGAAGCTCCTGTTACTTTTATTTAGCTTTGATAAAAAGAATATAAGAAATAAATCTGTTAAAAGTTTTTAAACATGTTTAAATCTAACACACCACAGATTAAAGTAAGTACACCCTAAAAACTGCGGATCTGACACTTAAATGTGTCTCTATAATCTCTTATTTCAGTCATATGTGAACTTTTAAAAACAAATAAAGTTTGTCCAGGTTGGTTCATGAAGTGGTGAAGGTAAATAAAGTGAGTTCACTGAACTGAACTCAGTCACTTCAGACCAGTTTTATTCAATTGAATTCTCTGTTGTTGTTTTAAATATAAATTAGCTGTAACTTTTATTCCAGTCTCATGGTTCCCGGACTAGAGAAAGTCTGGATAATGTCTCGTTAAAACGATAGAAAACAAACCAGCAGTTTGAGTGGAGTAAGTGCAGCTCAGACAGACTGACGCTGCTGGCCTCCGAACCGGAGCTCTGCTCACCTGAGACCGGGAGGAAAAAGGCGAGAAGCAGCAGCCGCTGGCGTCGTGTCCCTTTCAGAGGAGCCATCGCATCCCAGCTACTCTCTCATGGCTGTTTCCTCCACGCGAGTCGCTCCAACACTGACGAGCCGAGCACAGAGATGCACAGCGGCGGCTTCCCTCCTCTGGGATGGACGGAGGCAATTAATCACCCCCACTGAGTCTGCGCGTGGTCCAGCGCCCCCTACAGGCAGGACGCATACACTGCGGTTCACAGAGGAGACCAAGATTTGATTCACACGGGCCTTTTTAATGGAATAGTATTTATTTAGATCAAAGGAATCACAGCAGATTAAAGCAGGCGTGTTCAAAGTGTGGTCCGGGAGCTATTTGTGGCCCGCTGAATGGATCAAATCTGGCCTGCAAGAGCAACAAAAATAATTTCTGATTTATTGACAAGGCTTCTGTATTCAGAAAGAGCCACTGATTCATACATATTGTCGCTGAAAAACAACCCAAAAAACGAGGAAACAGTTATTAAGGAACCTCAGTTTGATTCAGATCTACAATTATTTACAAATGCTGCTTGGGTAAAAGTCTCCTTTCAATAAAATCATGCACATTTAGTTCAGTTTACTGAGACGATACAATAACAGAGGCGCAACAAATTCATTTGAATCTTTTTTTTTGTTTTTGTCTCGACAGTTTTGTCCCTCATGGTGAAAAGTTTGCACGACACAATTAAATTAAAACCGTAATGGAGAGCAATCGTTCCTCCTTCAGCTCTATGTTAGTACCATGTTTGTGTAAAAGCAGTAATTTCCAACAAGTTGCGTCTAATTTATAAATAAGATTCCCTCAGACTTTGTATATAGAGTGGAACGAAAAAACCCTGAGAACTGATAAACAACAAGCTGTGATGCTCCAGCGAAACCAGTGAAACCAGTGAAACCATGGCTTTCCCCATCAGGATGCTTCCCCTCATCAATACGTCATATCGATGAGAGCAGATCCATCAGGATCAGAGTCAGGCTGCTCACCAAATGGTCTCTGCAGACCCTGAGAAAGAAAGAGAAATGTTGATGAAAATGAGTTTGTCCCCTCAAAGTGTGACCCGCAATTACCAGGAAGCATCGATGGAGCCGGACAGCTGCTGCATCGACCCGCCGTCCGTCACTGATGGAGGACGGAAACACACCCCCACCAAGGTACCACACACACACACACACACACACACACACACACACACACACACACACACACACGCGCAGCCTCCATGTGTCATTCAGCAGCAAGGACCAGCTGCGATAGAAAAATCCATCCATCCATCCATCCATCCATCCATCCATCCATCCATCCATCCATCCATCCATCCATCCATCCATCCATCCATCCATCCATCCATCCATCCATCCATCCATCCATCCATCCATCCATCCATCTTTGCTCTAGAAGTTAGAGCATAAATATTTTGGTACACTGTAAAACATCTCAAGGTAGTTTAACCTGTAAATAAAAATCCACCTGCTGCCTTGAAATGCAGTTTAAATCAACAAGAAAATTATTTTGGTTTTAACTCAGAAACTGAAGTTCATGAAGTTGATTTAACAAGAGAGAAGTTGACTAAACATTGTTTTTTAAGTTCATTAATCTTGACTTGTTTTAAGTTAATGCTGCAATTTAAACCAAATAATTATTTCACAATATGCTAGAAAAAAAACAACCTGCCCTCCTCTATTACTTTTACTCACAATATCAAATTAGAAAATAACTTATTTTACTTTAGAATGATTTAAATTCTTGTTTCAAACTGTATGAACTGGTAATGAATTCTGCTCTAAAACATTTAATATTATCCTCCACTTTTGAAAACTTCATAAAACACAATTAAGTGTCAGTATGTTGCAAGATTCAGATCAACGTAACACTTCAAAACATGATACAAAAACAAGCCGCTAAGCATTCTGGGAAATAGTTCCCACTCCTGTCTTTTTCTTTTTTCAGTTTTTTTAGCGCTGACCTAAAAACTCAAGTTTATTCATGTGTTGGAGGTTTGATTAAATTAATAAACAACTCATCACTGGAAGCTTATCTTTCTCAAACTTAACATTTATTTGACTCAAAGAGTAGAACACAGTCGACACAACCAAAAGCGGCTGAGAGGTTTTACAGTGCACAGTGTTTTTGCAGTGTTTTGAAGGGATCGGTTCTCTTCCAAACCGAACCGCTCCCGGTCACTTCCTGTCTCGGTTCAGTCAGTCGGATCCTGGGTTTAGACCCCAGCCGGCCAGCAGGCCGCAGGCGGAGGGCGGAGTGCAGCTCTGGGCTCGGGTCAGGCTCCGCTGCGGCCCGATCAATGTCCTATCACTCATTATCAGGTTCTGCTTCCTCTGCGAGCGTGTTGGTTCAAAGGAACCAGCTTTCCCAGTACCATCTGCCGTTGGGTCAGTGTGGTTTCCCCCTGCCTGCGCCCATCCCCGCTGACCTCCAGAACAGTCCGAAAGGCTGGCCTGAATTGTGCGTGACCTTTCCGCTGACCCCCATGGAGGGAAGGGGCTTTACTGCCTCAATGCAGGAGGCAGAAAGAGACAATAGGACTGAGGCTCTGCAGCCGAGGATCACCAGCTTTCAGAGGAGCAGGTCCATTTTATAGCCAATCAGGTTTTACTGATCAATGATTTAACTGGTTGACAGCCCTGAAATCTCTCTCATCAGTTACAGTGAGAAACACAGTTTTTTCTCTGTCTGAAGTTAAATCAATCCAAACTTTTCTCGTTTTATGTCATTCAGCATTACCAGAATTATTTATGTTTGCAAAATGTTACAAAACTTATTGAGAATATTGATTTTTACAGATATTTTGTAACTTTTCGTGTTTGTTTTTGGTCTAGTGTCCAATGTTAATATCTGGGCTCACTTGAAATAAGGCAAAACTAACAACTTTTCATCAAGATATTAAAGCTTATTATAAGTGAATAATTTCTTAATATTGATTCTAAAAAGTCTTAGCTCCTCTTGCAGATTGTCACTTATAACAGACAATTTTTCACACGTTTTAAATGAAAAAAATCTGCCAGTGGAACTTTTTTTTTTCCATCAATGATAAGAAATTAGTTACTCAAAACAAGCTTCTATATCTTGGTAAAAAGTTAGTTTATCTTATTTCAAGTGAACTAAGATATTTACACCAGAACCTCTTGGACCAAAAATACTTTGTGGTTTTGCACTGACCGGCGGATCCCACAGCATCATGACTCTGCAAATATGCGACTCGCAACGTGAGCTTCAGCGCCCCCTGCTGGACCAATTCAGCATCAAACCACCACAAAACAAAAACATTGCCTGGTGCTGCAGAGTAATGATACTCAATGGATATCAGATAAGTTTATTTAAACACATTAGAGAATAAGCAACAAATATCGCTGCAATTGCACCAATTTAAAACATTAAAATGGATGCTAAAATTATTTTATGATCAGATTCATAAATAAGATGAAGTATTAAAGCTGGATAGAATCTTTACATTTACACAAAGTTTACATGATAATACATGGAAACAAATATTTATACTCTGTGTGTCTGGCAAATCATTAACGCCACACTAATGCACAAAAAACCTTATTTTTATTTTGACGGATCGTCTCTGTGTGACATTTCCTGTTGCTAGGCAGATTTTTTGTGTTTATGTTTCTAATTTTCTTTGTAGTTCTCCCATGATGACTTTAGCACACAACAACTTTAATGAGTTTAAAAAACAGAATCTGTGTGATTAAAAAAACAGTAAAAACAGAAGCGATCTGTAATGAGGTAAGTACTTTTCTGCAGCATTTTATGGAAATATTTCAGCATGTAAGCATAATGATGAACACGCTTGTGCAACCCGCTGTAGCTTTTTAAATTCATTACAGTTTTAAAAAAAATCATTCAAGCATGACAAAAACATCAAAATACAGAAAAAATGAACATATTTATGCTCATTGTGAGATGTTCCCAAATGTAAGCAAATAACTTGACATATAGTCATTGCATCCTGGTTTTTATGAGTTTATTTCACAAACATTTACATTCAGTCAATAGATATGCTATAGGTAGTTAAAATTAATGAAAAAATAATAATTCTGCCCTTTTTTCTGCTATAATGTCATCTCTAGCAAGCAGAGATATGATAACACCTCTAAAATCTACATAACGTGTCACAAATGAAGGCCTTGGTATTTCTCTTTAAAATGAATGTGAAAGAAGAGAAAAAGTGCTTGTCTTAAGCGAGGTTCACATGTAAACATTTAAACACATGAAGCAAAAGATCATGAGTGATTCAGACAGTCTGCAGTTTGGCAAAGGTTCAGAAGTAAGACTCGTCGACAAAGTGCTTCACTTTATAAGAGCAGGAGTAAGAAAAACATCAGACAGGAAGCGGGCCGCGTTGTCTCCCACCCTCACCGATCCGTAAACATGGCAGCGAGAGTAAACACATTTCACCTGGCAGAAAATGTTAAAGCTGCTGCTCGAGTGCAGCCGTTTCATACAAAGGTATCACAAATTAGTTCTCACTTTGAGAAGAACAATCTGCAAACAAAAACAAAAACAAAACGTTGAAGATGCGCTCTCAAAAACGGAGCTGCAACCAGACGCCCCCTGATGAGATAAAAACAATGATGTCGCAGGACAAAAAAAAAACAAAAAACATCAGTACAACTATTTAACATGTTAAGGCCAGCTGGCAAAGGTTTAAACTAAAACCCAGAGATAAAAGGTGAATTTACATCGATTCTTCTGGTGAAACCAAAGTGGAGAAAGAAAGACGCTGAAAGTAGATGTAAAAGGCACAAGTGTGTCACGCAACGTGAAATAAACTAAAAACTTTAGTAATTTGGCTATTTTACATCGATATATACAGGAGTGCATAGTATCCAACACTGTATGCTGTAGCCACTTCTCCTCCATGGGAGACACAGAAACAATAATTACTGAAGCTTTTCACTGGTCCAGGTTCATCACTGGCTATTTATCCACCAACACATTTAGTTTAACGAGTCGCTCAAACGTGTACGTAACGCTGTCCGCTGTAAATGGCTTTAAGGTCCAAATATCTGAA